CAACCACACGCAAGCTCTTCACGGCGTCCTGAGCTCCCAGGAGGCCCCGTATGTGATTGCAAAAGGACAGGCTCACAAGAAAACTCCTTAGGAATATGGGAGCCGTGCACTTCTCGTGCGCTCGCACAAACTCATAAACACTCTTCTCGCAGATGGGAAAAGCCAAAGTGCCCTGCTCGTTGCACCAGGCAACGAACCGAAGCATCAGCCCTACTCGACCATGCAAAGTGCCGGCAGCTTTGCCGGCAAACACATCTGTCAGACCAGAATGCAGAGTGTTGCCCAAGGGATCAATCTTGTTGAGTTTTCTGCCCCAAGTCGAAAGCCGGCGGGTTGAGTAGGATGACACCAACCCATTTCCGAATTGCAGCAGCCATGTAACACGCCAGGTTCTGCTCCCATGACAAAGTTGAGCATGTAACGCGGCGTATCTTGAAACGCTGCGCCTCACTCACTCCCTCAGCTTCATCTGTCAGTTCGACAAGGTTACTATATAGAACAGGCATCGGTCTGGCTGGCCTGGGCGGCATTGTTGCAAGAAGCAACTCCCAGGTAGGCTTGAACAGAGACACACTCACCATCCTGCGACAATATTGCGAGTGATCGTCGAAAGCTGCCGCATCTGCCACGCAGCTTGCCAATGAGGCCTGGCCCTTCTCACCCCCTTGTCCAAACATGGCCAGGGCTCAGTGTCGTGAGAAGCCAGCACAGCAACAACAAGATATGGCACAACACAGCAATCTCAAGCTCAAAAAGGCTCACAAAGAACTTGCTGCCACACGGCAGTTCCCGCCACCCACCCGGTCGAGCTGACATGCTCGCAGACAGAGGTTTTGACATGCTCGGCTCGCGCCTCTCACGCTTAGTCAAAATAATCTAGGAAGCTTCGCGATTTCCAGAGAGTCGTAGAGGTGTAGATACATGCAAGGATATGGCAGGATATGATAGCGACATTAGGTAGGCAAGCACAGTATGAGACACCAGTATAGTGAAAGACTTCTATTCTAGGCCTAACCCTAGAAACTAAACCCGGATGTTTTCGCGCATGGAAATTCGAACCTGCGTTTCGACATACTGAGTGCCTTGTAGGGCCTGAGAGCATGGCATACATCAAGTCAAAGACGTTTACAAGAAAGTTGAATCTTTTAATGGCTAGACCGTGAGGTTTACGTGCGTCTTGTTCAGATCAGCCTCTTCTGATCCAACACACCTTATGCTGGCAATGTCACTCTTTGTTGCCATAACCCTAAACCCTAAACCCTAAACCCTAAACCCTTAGTCTTGGTTGGCGTTTGGCCTGTGGTGGCTCTTGGAAGGGGGAATTCTGATTGGCCAAAGGGTGTTGTACGAGGCTCCCGACGAGTTGCCAAGTCTGGATACCCACGCGGTTTAGGGTTTCAAAAATAAGGGGAAATCTCCAGGGAGCCCTGTTTGGGTAAATCTTCTGTGCGTTAGGTTGCTCTATGGTGCAGGGGCAGGATTGCTGCTGTGGCCCTCTTGCAACCTCTTGCAACCTATCCTGATCGTACTCATGAGCCTTCGTATGATACTTTGCTACCAGGACTCCTTGACGCAGGGCTGCCTTTCAAGCTTGCAACAAGACTACAGGGATCATCCGGGATCATCTTCTGAGAAAGGGAGTGGCATAGAACAAACACCATCACAATCAACATAACCCTTTACCCCTGACCTTAGCCCCAAACCCTAAACCCTAACCCTTCCACTCTAATCCCTCAACAATAGTCCAGCCTGTACCAGAAGCTTCCAGGCACGTCTTTCCGTCTGCCCGAAACAATCCAAGGAACAAGGGTCTAGGTGGACCCCCACCCTGTAAGTTTAGCCCTTATAATCACTATTACTGGGAGGAGGGTCCACCTAATGTCAAGGTTTTTAGGGTGAAGGTTTAAAGCTTAGCGTTTCTAGGATGTACGGTTTTGTATGTTGACAACAAGATTATGCTGGGGTCAAACTGGGACTACAGCGGCTTTAGAAGAAGGTTGAGGGCTTCAGCAGGGTTTGCCACCCTTGTAACGTATACATCCCTTCTTGGCGAGGGTTCCTTACGGTAGGGACCGCAAAGGGTAGGTCGGCTTAGTGTAGCCTAAATTTCTGGAACGTCCCAAACGTTGAGATGGTCTGGCATTCCCGGAGTACAAGCTAGGATTTAGGAGTTAAGGAAATCAAATGCAACTTTTTCAGAAGCATATCATATGAGCGGTGCTTCATGCTGGCCGAACTGCCGAACCAATGAAGCTCATGTTCATCTCACAATGAAATATGCCCAGAAAGAGGATGCAATCTGACCCTAGGTTGCCATGGTACCCCTGCTAATGAAAACGGAAAGCCTACAACAACCTGCATGTTGTCAGTTCTCGTGAATGGACCTAAGCCATGGTCCACTCAGCTTTTCGTTGGAACCACCTTGAGGTCCATGAGGCTTACTAGCCTCTTGCAACTGGGGGCATAGCTCGACTTATAACTTCGGCGACCTGTGTAAAGTCAGGTAAGAGGGGTGCAAGTAGGGCTATTACACGTCATACACAGTGCTAACTTCCAAGTCCCTGACCCTCCGGGTCCAAGCAAGAAGTGCCACGGCGGACTTTGAAGCCCAAAAGTCGACTGGCAATTTACATCAACCATGCAGAATGCATGGTCATGACTGCCACAACATCCGGTTAAAGCAACGGCTACCTATCCCTACAAGACTCGTAGGATTTCAAAATCAAATTAGCCGGAACTAGGACTCCTCGGAGAAGCCCCCTGCAAACAACCGCAATATCTAAATGTCACTGACTCCTGGATCATCCCTGTAAGTGGAGCTCATATCTTCAAGGACTGGCATGGGTGCACACGTCTCATAATAAATGGACCTCACCTGCACAAACCAAAGCCCCAACATCTAGAGTACCCCGAAAAGTGAACCCACAATCGGCCCAAAAGCCAAAACCTTAACCCCAAACCCTGAACCATTAACCCCAAGTCTCGAACACCAAGCCCGGCGCCCTGAACCCTAAACCCTGAACCCTAAACCCTAATCCGCGATCTTGCCACCCTGGCCTGCTCTGCAAAGATTTTGAGGCAGTGCCGAACCGCTTGTCCCTTCTTCTGGTTGCCAGGCCTCATGAGTGGGTGTAGAGTTTAGGGTTTAGGGTTGTAGGGTTTTAGGGTTTTAGGATTAAAGGTTTGAAGGTTTAGGGTTGGAGGGGTGGAGTGAAATTGGATGGGCTCTAGGTTATCATCCAAACTGTGGACTAGTAAGCAAAGCCTCCGCACTGCAACATGAACTTCCGCAAGCCGACATGAGCTTGTCATCTTCAAAATTAAAAGATGTTCGTGTATGGGAGGCTAACACCATTTGAGCTATAATCTAAACTCCTAGTATCCCCCTTAATGACCACTCTGCTACTCCCCTGTATAATCTTCTACACAACACCCTTCAATAGGAGTTGAGACTATAACTCATTTAAAACCAGGGTCTTGGGCTTAGGGCTCCCCCAAAGTCGCAGCCTTTTCTGGGATTGGACAATTCCACGGTCCGGGTACGTGACAAATCGTGGTTCCCAAGGGTGTGGAGTCCTTGTTTTCAGTACTATCTGATTACTCCCACAGCGTGGATAGAACATGATTAAGCATATGATAATTTCCCTAAATAGGGGACCCAGATATGCACCCCAAAATACTGTAATCCTCATTTTCGGGACCCCTGAAGAGGTACCCCGAATTTTGGGAAGCTCCCATATACCGATTTTGGAGGGACTGGTATGGCTTGAGCCCTGATGTGACGAATGGCCAATCAACTAACAATCGATTCAGGCCCTGTCAAAAAACAGTCGTACTCCCTAAACCCGAAAAACCCTAAACCCTAAAACCCTAAACCCTAAACTGCGTGAATATTCGGGAAATGAAGGAACCACAGGATGATTAGAGCCGTGGTCCAGTATGAAGGATTGCATTCGGCTTGCCTTCAGAACCTCTCCTTTGGGGATTCTACTTGCAGATACCTAATCTACTGTATTTCCAATTCTGGGAGATATGGAAGGCGGTGCAAGATTCCCCCCTGCATCCACGGAAAGGGGGGGGAAGGGGTGCGCAGAACTTCTATTATAACGATTGGCTTGGGAATGTTGCCCGGGGGTGCGCTTTGTTTCACATCAGCTTCAATTCGGATGAATACCTTCACCCTAACATTGAACACATCCGACGCCCCTACTGTGAAATATGGCCCTCTACATAATCGGTTCTTATGGCGAATATTTAACGCTAGGGCTGGGCGGGGGCGTCCCTTTAGGGAGAGGCGGTGAACCTTCTTGCCCAATACTCTTTGGACTCCTTCTTGTAGACCCCTGGCAAGCAAAGCCCGACTATAACTGTACGTACAGCCCCCGTATACTTAGAAGCCTGCCGTTTGTTGGCTACAGTTGGCTCATGACTTCAGTGACTACAATGCGTAATTGGGCCCTAACGGCCTCCAACGAGTGCGTGTCTACCATAAATTTACCTGAAAACTGAGATGCTCCGCCCATATACTATGGTAGTTTCCATTGTCTATTCCATTTTCGCTATATAACCCCCATACACTATAGTAGTTTTCATTTTCTTTTCCATTATCCCTATATTACATAACCCCCCTAGACTATAGTAGTTTCTGCTTTCTCTTCCATTATCCCTATATTACCCCTATAGAATATAGTAGTGTCCATTTTCTTTTTCATTATCCCTATGTAACCCCTATATACTATAAAAGTGTTCGTGTTTCTTTCCATTATGCCTATATAACCCCTATATACTGTAGTAGTTTCCATTGCATTTTCCATTATCCCCTTTATTGCCCCTTCGATCATGGCCAAACGGCTCCTCTTTTTTCCTTGCGGGAGATGCCAGGAAGGTACAGCGTGGTCTAAATCAATATCTTCTGCGCATGTTGAATCAACAAAGCACGCTCTGCTTCAGGGCTTCAAAGGCCACGGCTACACCCTACTAGCAAGAGTCAGAATCATCAATCATGGGTCTGCGCAAGCAATCTGACCAGACTCCAGCATGGAGCCCAGCAGGAGTGAAATTGGATTTACAACAATGACTCCGAGCAAGCTCAGCATACGAGCGGCGCTTTGCCGCCGCGTGCCTGCAATGTCCACTGCATCACCGATGTAGCGGAAGGCCATGGTGAGCAAGTAACCTCTAAGGGCATATTTGGATGAGCCCTTGAATTAGTCAGCCTACCAAGCCTTCTCAAGAACCCGAATTATCTGCCCCATAACCCCGGGCACAAAGTAGACTTACTGAGTCTAGAGAGCCTCCAAATAGAGCTCTGGGCTTACGAGCTGGCACCAAGAGATGTTCATAGTCCCCCTTGAATAGATAGAATATGGGGTAGATGTGGGATCTTATTATAATAGACCCAAAGTCATATTCTATCTACTTAAGGGCGACTATACCCTGAACCCTAAACCCTAAATAGTAGCTTCCATTTTCTTTGCCAGTATGCCAAAATAACCCCAATATAATCCTAACTATTATTCGATCTACTTAAGGGGAACTTTATGGTTTGGCCTGCAGGTCTGCTAGCACAAGCATCTACAGGGGCTATATTGGGATAATTGAAAATAAAATGAAAACTACTACAGTATGTAAGGTTTATACAATGTTATATAGGGAATATATTGGGGTGTATATTTTGCGATAATGGATAAACTGAAATGGAAACTCCAATTATAGGGGCTATTTAGTGTTTGGGTTTGGGGCTTTGGTTCTAGGATTCAAGGCACAACAGTGGAAGTTCACAACATTCATGCGTAGGAGTAGTTCCCCTTATCTTCTACGAATCTGACCATACCCTGTCCTTCATCTTTTTTGTTGGGCCTTTGTGGAAAACCCTAAACCCTAAACCCCCTGAGGGTCCCGTGATTCTCCGGCAGGAAGTTAGGAGCCGGAGCCCGCAATTTTGAGCAAAAGCCCCAAGCCCCAAGCCAAGCTTCAAAACGTGAACCCCTCAAGGTTTAGGCTTTAGGGTTTGAGGTTTAGGTTTTAGGGTTCAGGGTTTAGGGCCCTAGGGTTTAGGGTTTAGGAGGTGACGTAGTCTAGCGGGGGGTAGGGAAACCCATCCTAGCCCCAATTTCAGCCCTATCTTCTAATTGTTGCCTAGAAACTAAAACCCTGAACCCAAAACTCCTAAGCCCAAAACCCTAAACCCTAAGCCCTGAACCCAAAACCCAAAACCCTAAACCCTAAACCCTAAACCTAAGATTGTCTCCGAGTCACCTTCCAAGCCCCCAGTCACTGCGAAGCTACAGATGTACAGCGACTGGCCGTTGTCCGTCCTGTTGGGGTTTGGGGTTTAGGGTTTAGGATTTAGGTTGGGTACTGCCCCCACCCAGTAACAGTCTATATTAGGGGTCCTATTAAGGGCTATATATAGCCATATCATAAGTGTTATCCAACTGTTACTGGGTGGGGGCAGTACCCAAGGTTTAGGGTTTAGGGTTTCGGCTTTGGTATCCGCTGCAGGAGGGCTTGGGGCCGCGTTCCAGAGATACCGGGAAGGTGCTTTGCACATGGGACTTTCTCAAAAAAGAGACTATTGAGTCTATAGAGGCTCTCTTTCTCAAGGAATTAGTGTCTATGGTGTCGTGGGTGTGTGTTATTTCTCCATTTTTGTGACCCCATTTCAGGACGCAGCAACGAAGGCACAGGGAAGCATGTAAAAAAACAGAGATGCTTCTGCTTACGTGCCTCTAGCCTGCACTGTGGAACTACCCCACTCATGGTTCAGATACCTACTATCTTGGACCCCATGGCCCTATGTGAGGGCATGCGGAGGAGGGTCTAGGAACACAGACCCGCTACAAACTCCAGCCTAAACTTCAAGCAAGGCTGCGTGCTTGTGATGATAAAGTTTCGATTTATTCTTGTTTCGGGGGGGGGGGGGTTAGGCTGTCAACGGTATCAACATGTGTCACATAAGAATGGCTGCACACACCTCTGGCGCTAGGACATTAAGTTGAGGAATACCTGCAAGAGTCTGGAATCTACCAATGCAACCCAACGTCAAATCAATTGGGCCACCATGTATTCCCATGTCTTCTTGCACTTTGCCTAAGATGGTGGTGTTGTGTGTGCTATATATAACCTGATAATACATTCTTACTGCCTGCAATAATAAGGAAGCTTTGAAAACCTACTGCAAAACAGAGACCCCATTCAAAGAGACCAACCTCTTGAATCCATGTTTCCCCCTACAATGCCCTTGGTGCTGCAATCTGCCCTCTTGTCTTTGACTGCCGCCTGGGTAACGATTTTGGGTGGTGGAACCAAGTAGGATTAGGCTCGTCTTACAAAGTTCTATGTTCAAAAGGAGGATGCAATCTTACTCTCTATTGGGCACGACAGCACTGCCCTCCCCCTTATGTCAAGGTCAAAACCCCCAAATCCCCTAATACTAAAAACTCCCATAGTGTATATTACAATATATTGAGAGTATACTATATTCGGGGTGTGGGGGGAGGTGTTTAAACTTTTTTGGGAAGGAATTACGCGGAGATAAAATACAAGTCACCTGTCCTGAAGTGGTCCAGGCCCATCCTTGGCGGGGGTTGGAGGGTTTTCTGGTTTAGCATTTAAGGTTTAGGGCTTGGGGTTAAGGATTTAGTTGAGGGCTTACCCCCAAATAGGAACCTGGCAGAAAACCCATACTAAACCCCAACAAAATATTTTGGAGGGTCCAGGTAGGATTAGTTTGTCTAGATCTTGAGGATTAGGTTAAGGGTTCGGAGCTTGGAGGCTCGGGAATAAAGACAGAGCTTACAGGGCTGCTGATAAGGAATTCAAATCCAGTTACCATGATCTGGATGTACAGTGAGTACTCTTGTTTCCCCATAACGGTAACTCACTTTAAGTCCGCCATGAGTACTACAGTAGTAATAGGAACCCAGACTTTGGCCCATCCAAGTGTCCCAAAGGCCGCACACGCGATGATCGAGCCAGCAGCTAGCTGCACGGCGGAGAGCGCGTAGAAGCCCCATCGGGGGCAAGGCATCACTGAGGACATCACGGAGCCTATGGGTACCATGATCTGCGAACTGGTCAAGGAAAGTCTGTAGGTCTCTTTGCCAGCCTTGCCTTTGCACGAAATGGGGTCGCAGTAACTTGCGCCAACTTCTCCTAAGGACAAGGCAATGCCCCACTGTGCAACCTGTGATAACGTCGCCAACACAACTGGCAGGAGTAGCTGTCGGGGAACTGCAAGACCATCGCCTGGGTTGCTGTTAATGAACTTACATGAAGTTACCATGATATGGCTATATTGTAAACAAAAGGATTTCCTTAAATTGCAACTTAACTTGCCTTCCTCAACCCTAAACCCTAAATACTGGTTTTCATCTTATTTGCCATGATCCCTATATAAACCCTATATCAAATTAACAGCAACCCAGTCGCAGAAGCGCTTTTTGTGGGCCACCACACACTCCCTGACACCATCTACATCGGAGCCGTTGATGGAGGTCATCTCCTAGGCTTCCCCAAGGATGAGAGTTTAGGGTGTAGGGTTTAGAGTTTAGGGTTTTAGGATTTAGGGTTAAGGGTTTTAGGATTTAGGGTTTAGGGTTTAGGGTTTAGGATTTAGGGTTTAGGGTTTAGGGTTTAGAGTTTAGGATGGTTCTAGGGCCTCTTCGTAGACAAAATGTGTGTAGCTGTGTC